ACTCGTGCTTAGAAATATATTTGTACTGACCAGTTACCTTGTACTTAAAGTATAGAATGCTCTGCAGGCTCGGTGTGAACAGTACTCAAATGTACTTAGTTGTTGTGTGACTTATGCCACTGTGTTTCCAGTTGTACGGTTTCACAAGACAGATAAGAAAGTGGCCTGAAGCCTTTGATAAAGCGCTGCTGCTTTTCTTTGGTGCTTCAGTTGCAGAGCTGTGCAGAATGGACCCAAGTTCTGAAATACTTTTTTATGGTTTGTGAGTAAAGTGATAGCAGAGATAGGAGGAAGTAGTTACTGTTTGCAAAACAAATAGCATTCCAAATAGAGATACTGTGGCAACAAAAGCAAAAACATGCTCATTATGGTTTTAGCTGCTTCTTTTAGTGTCAAATTCTTGGTAGATCCGTGATAACCTGGATACTTCCATGGTTATGTAGCCATACTTAAACTATTTTTAAAGTATTCCAAGATCCTTGCTTTAATGGCATCTCCAGTTGGTTGTGAAACAGCCATATCATCATCAGAAGAAAATGTCTCTGTATTCAGCTGTTACATAGATATGATTACCTTGACTTGTTTTGAAGATATTTGCTATTGACAGCTGTATTTTAGAGTTGTCTTGCAAGGGACTGCTTAGGATAGTGTATAGTCACCGATGTATAGGAGAACAGGCAATGAGAAACAAGGATATTACAACTGGACTTTATCCCACAGTATGAAAAACCCAAACACGCACCTATTTGCACAGGTAGTCATAATAGCCACTTCCCTCATGTGGGAAACAATTGCTTTTCTGGAATTATATATAGGAAATTAATACACCAAAGCACTACCTGATCTGTGAGTATGTATTTATTGGATACGATTTGTAGAGTTTAAACACATACTTCAATGTGTGGCAAAGGAACAGCTTTATCCAAGAGCAGTGAAACTGAGATTGAATACTATAAGTTTTTAATATTGGGAGCATTTAATTTGAGATGTTTTATTTTGATTTTAATATTTAAGGACGAGTTGCTTTCACATGAGAGAACCAAGGTGTTCCTCCTCTTCACTCTTTTTACAATATGTACAGGAATGGTACACCTGGGCCCATGACTACAGCGTGACTGTTTCTTTTGTTAAGAGCTACGTCAGAGCCTATTAACATTGCTCTGCCATGAAGGTTTGCTGCCAAGAGATACAGCTGGCCTGCTCTGCCCCTTCAGATGGGTGTGCTATCTCCTGAGTTCTGCCCACCAGGGTGAGGCCATAGAAAAGCTGCCAAGAAACATATCTAGGCATCTTGTTTAGCAAATTTTTGCAAGCCACGGGGTTAGCCATTAAAAATAGATTTAGTTTTAGTTCATTTTTAGTTCGATATTGCACCACCTATACTTTAAAACAACTCTCAGCATTTACTAAGAGATAGGTTAATATGCACATACTGTCATTGATTTAAAAAAAAATCTAAAATTTTAATTATTAAAGAAAACTTGCATAATAAGCTTAATCTGTCTTTTTTTTTTTTTTCACTCTACCTACCAATCTTTTGCTTTTGTGTGGTCTTTAAGCTAAGGTTATTAAAATACCTCATAAGTTATAATTGCTTGCTAATCTTTCCAAAGCCTATATTGTTTGTCATAGCTCATATACAGAGACTTGAATTCTTCAAGATTGCCAGAATCAAAGCTAGTATTAAAAGCTTTCATTTTCCCTTTTCTTTTTTTTTTTTTTTTTCTGATAGACCTGTGTCCTAGACGGTCTGAGAGGAAAATTATACGATTACCTCCTTTTTTTAATAGAGTATGTTTCTATTACGTACAAAGCTCCATTTTGCAGATTAAGTTTTTTGTCAACAGATCACAGGTATTTTTCTTTTTCAACTTCAAAGACATCATCGTCCCCATGAAACTCCCTAGCCTGATTAAACGTTGTTTTATATATATGCACATGTACTTTAATCCAGCCAGAGTGAAATGCACGTGTAAAATGCAACAAGAAAATGTGAGGAGAAACTATGAATTACATTCTCTTAAGAGCTAATAGAGTGGAATTGAATCATTTGATGTATAAATAAGGTGGAGATGTATTTACATTAAGCATTCTGTACAGTGGAAACTGTCCTTTTCAGATAAGAGCAAGGATATACTCAAGCAACAAGGAATTTGAAGATTTTCCATTACTGTAGAAAATTACTGGAAGCGAAGGTGCTTTTTCTATTAAAAGTAGACACAAGAAAACCTTACAAACTTTCTTCCAGAGAGGTAACCAAGAAATCTTAAATTTGTGTCAAGCTTGCTTCTTGCATTACTGTTAGGATCCTGTAAACTATTCTATTAGGCAATGAAGCTGAAATTAATTAATGTCTTTAACAGAAGTGGTAGAGTATGATAAAAAGCTCTGCAGACCTTTATTAAAAGAGATTTTTTTAAGATGATTTTACAAGTCTGCATGGTGAAATTGACTATCATATCTGTAATAAAATAAGCTCATGTGCTCTAAATACATGGGATTGCCCTCTGTGTAGATGCTGTTCCAAAATAATTGCTCTGTTTTGCAATTATTCTGGAATAAGTCTCCACTTACTATGCATTACTGTCCACTTCCAGACCCAGTATTTGTCATTTTACTTCATATGTACTTCCGAAATGGCTTGAACTCTCGGTATTATTGTAGCAAACCTCCTGTCTTTGTTTCAGCTTGGTGAAGTTCCGACAACAGTACATGTTCTGGTATAGTAAAAATGTGCAATCTATTTATTGCTACACTTTCACAAAAGCAACTTTGAGTGATGACTGCTGGAAGCAGATTTATAGAGGTATTTATGTACTGAATGGTAGGGCTTTTTTGTAAAGTTTAAATTATTAATCTTCCCTGACAATGATGTGATGCTTTAGCAGAGGATGTTCTGTTCTGTTCTTGTCTGCATCTTACAGCAATTAAGTGCATTTACAAATATGCCCCCAGGTTCTGAGTGTAGCTATATGTTACCCATGTGGCACCCTCATATTGCACAAAAATTCAATGAGACACATCCAGCTATGTAAAACTTAATGTCGGACAAGACTGGCAGTGTTCTGAGCAGCTGAAAGACCTTTTAAAGAAAAACATTAGCCAATCTTAACTGTAAAGGAAAACTACCATTTTCAGCCTTGTATCCTATTATTTACATTTTTTCTGAATAATGGAACAATAAAATACATGTGGATTTGATTTTAATACCTTGAAGTTGTGATACACTAGACTATAAATTGATCAGACAAGTTCATTAGGACTAAGCAGCCTTCACTAGCTGTTAACCATGTGATTTAGCACTTCAAGAAACAGCAGTGTTCTAATGTCTTTGTATCCTTGGTCATCCACAACCATCTTTTTATTCGTGATTTCCAGACAGAAATCAAGTTGCTTCTTCCTTCCTTTCATCTCCTATTCTAGAGTCTCGTGTTCAAGTATATGCACTTCTGCAGCCTGAGAAAGCTTGTGCTCCAGCTCACACGGTTCAATTAGCAGCGGTTCCGTTCTGTTGGGTTTTGGCAGTACGCATGCAGGGACAGCTAGGTGGGTTAAGTAGACTGTCGTCAAATTGTTATTAATTGTTAATAAATTAAATATTTTTTTATTTTCCTTTTTTGTACACTCTGGATATTTTTATTGCCAAGTGTAGAGGTATATGCTGCATTTCTGAACAATTTAGTTAGGATAAATGAGTAAAGAAGTGCTGGAAGACCTGAGTTCAGCCACTGTGTCAAGTCTTGGATTTTGTACTCATCTGTTTATCAAACCATGGGGACACTGACCAAACTTTGTCTTAAAGCTCTTCTTGTTTGTGTTGAAATCATAGTGTAGAACTTTACTCTTCTGCTTAAAAGCTTTCTTTTAGTTTCCATCATAAATGAATCCACAGGTATTTTTTGTATGTTTTTTTTCTTCTGGCAGCATTTTGCTGCTGACCTTTTCCTTTAGCTTAAATCACGTAGTATTCATCTCAGGACTCGTACAACTGTAGTCTGGAAATACGGTGAGATGTTAAATATAAAACAAGGAAAAGAGCTAAGGAGGCTACAATGATTTTTTTCATTTATTCCCTCATCCACTCCCCTTTAAGAAAAGATTGTATTCCAGGCTGGTCACCCTAGTAGTCTTGGTCGGTGCCTCTTCTAGTTTGAATCTGTATCTTGTGTAATAACTGAATATCATTTTCCATAATTCCCCAAAGGGTCTGTATCCTGTGTTCCTATTTAACCAACTGAGCATGTCAGCTAGTGCTGGTTTAGATTGAGATGGGGTAAAATATGTGATGTGACAGGCAGACAAACAGAAAACCACTTTAAGGTCAGCAAAGCCAGAGTGGCTTCCTACTTCTGGACTGTGCTAGAAAGAAAGAAAGAGATAGCATAGCTGCAGTTAGCCTACAGAAGGGACTGATGCTGAGGATGCCATTTCATAAACAAGGCTGGGCCAATCAGTGTTTGCCATCTGCAGTCCTGCTTCCTCCCCGCTGCTCCGGCCGCACGGTTCTCCCCTCTGTTGTGCTATCCTAAGGACAGTCTGTCTGACTCCTCTGCAAACCATTTCAGGTTTCATGTCAAGCTGGTGTAAGGTCTTTTGCTGCGTCGACTTCCAGACTTTTTGCAAGTGCTTACGTGAGGTGAGGTGACCCTTCCTGCATCAGTAAGCTCTTAGACTGGCTTACCTCGGAGGGGTATCTGAAGTTGTAGCATTGGTTTAAACCTGATCGTTACACAACCGGATGTGGGTGGTGAAGATAGTCATTTCCTTTAAGGCAGGAGAAAGGAATTTGCTGGCAGTATTCTGCCTCTCACAAACATGTCTATAACACTGATAAATGGTGATAGGGAGGTTTTTCTGCATTTATGACTCTTGTCTCGCAAGGCCAATGGTTGAGTTAGGCAGTTCTACAGCAAAACCAGCTGCAAGAAGAAAGTCACTAAAAACTGCTCAGTAATAATTGGGTTTGGTTTATTTTTGTTGTTTTTTTTGTTTGTTTTCAGTGAAGGGAGCAATCTCACCCCTGCTCATCATTACCCTGACTTCAGATTTAAGACGTATGCACCTCTTGCCTTCCGCTATTTCAGAGAACTTTTTGGTATCAAGCCTGATGATTACTTGGTAAGAGCTTGCAGTTTTCCTTTGAGTTACAAATGATTGTAATGTATACTAGTTTCACAGTGACTCAAGAGGATGCTTTAAAGATGCCTAAATGGGTAGTAAATTTTGTGTATGTTTTTGTTGAGTGTATATAACTAGTCAGTATTTTTAGTGTCTTATGAAAATTTTGACGCTTCATCTTTGAGACAATTCCTATAAAAACCTGCCTTGTTAATTGACTAAAGCAACTTGAGCATTACTGCTCATTCAGGTCATTGTTTCTAGAGAAATTATAATCAGTACTTGTGTGACTTCTACCAATTCAGTTCTAATAAAGTGCTCTTGTGTTATTTGCGTTATTTATTCACTTCATTAAAGAAGTGTTTGTCTGCAAATGTTCCCATCTAGCCTTGAGAAAAGTGGGTGGCGGGCTAAAAGAGAAGCATTTTAGAGTATCTTCTTTGTTCTCTGTATTTTATAGTTTGAAGATTTATTCCTTCTCAATATTCAACTGTTTACGTGAGAAAAAAGTGATGCATTTGCTGCTGTCATAGAAGCAGACTTTATCTCGTAGAACCACCTTGTGCACTGCCAGGGAAGAGGATTCACCGTTTTACTTCTCCTGTAGTTCTGCTTTTGGAAGTGTAGTGTGAAAATAAAGAGCTGGATTGTTTTCTAGATACTTACCTCATGTCCAGTTTTGTCTCATGCTGGTCGACCCAACAAATCTGAGTCCCAGTACAAATTAGCAATTTTGTACATCAGAGTTTTATTGTTAGCTTCTTTCGAATGAGCTTGTAGATCTTTTTGTTCCATTATTAATAACTATTTCTTTAAAACCAGAATAATTTGAAAGAGCTTGAATGAATAATAAAAAAAAATTATTAAATAGTGCTGAAACATTACTTAATATATTACTTCACTGACTTCTGTTGTGTTCAAGTGTGTTTTAAGGGTTATTTTTCCTTCATGGACAGTAAGCCTAAAACCAAAACTTAGCTGATTTTGCTTTTATTTAGGTTGAAGGTGGGTGTCTGATTTTAATCCTTCAGTATTATGTATAGATTTTGTATTACTAGCCCTCATGACAGCAGATATATATATAAAAAAATCATTGCTTTGAATTATAGATGTTAGTAGCAGGGAAGTGCACTTGGGTTCGAGTTTTATGAAGGTGTCATTATGTAATATGTTGTGTACCTGGCAAAAGAAGTAGTATTTGGGTTGTGTTTCTAGCTGCTAAAAAGACTGTGCTTCCTAGAGTAAAGCTGTGATCACCTGCAACTTCTGTTCCATCTAAGGAACCGTTTGCACTTGCATAAATGAAAGGTTAGAGAAAGACTGCTTGCTGTTGATAAGAGATTTGTGACACTCAGCCTGGCTACAAGATGAGTAATCGCTGAGGGAAATTCCCAGTAAAGGCAACTTGTTGCAGATTCTTTTTCCTCTTGGCACAGCAAAAGACACTAGTGACACATTTCCCAGTAAAAGGGCAACGAGAAAAGCTAGTTTCAAGATTAAGTGTACCTTCTTTTCTTGCAAATGCGAAAGCAGATTTCCTTCAACAAACATATTTTTGTGAAGTATAGTTGGAATTTTGGTATCCATTCTTGTAACTGATGCATGCCTCTGGTAGGGTTGTATTTGCTCTGCAAGCATGTTAGAATCCATTTCTGTTGTTTCCAATTCTAAAAGAGCATCACTTTGCAATCAGAGCAGGTTGCACGCCCTTGCGGTCCGGATGCAGATGTGATCAGTGGGATACTATGATGGTAAAACAAAACTATTTTTACTTTGGGATGCTTTTCCCAATTGGTTATGATCAAAATATCTGGTTACAAGTTTGCTCCCAGTAGCATATGTCAGGATTCTGGCTGAACAGTCCCTCTTGTTTCTGTGAGATCTGGATCTGTCATGTAGTGACTGTAATTCCAATTCAGTATCTAAAGCACTTTACTGTAACAGTACGCCAACTGATTGTCCAACTGTGGTTGAAGGGGAAGGAAAATAAAGTAAAAAGAGGAGAAATTACAGAAAGCGTACGTGAGTTACACTGTTGATTTGCAATGACGAAGCCCAAAGATTTACAGTTTCACCTTGTCCAAGGAGGTTGAGTGGTAATGCACTGCAGGAGTCAGACCGGACAACAGGGGTAAATACATTTGAGCAGCTGGTAGAATTAAATTGTCACTGGAAACCTCATGGAGTTCTGTTGTTTTGCAGGGAAACTTCTTGATCATAAAGTACTTAACTGTCAGGGGCTTGGGGATTTTCATACTTTTCAGTTTTGATTTAGCTTTCATAAATGTCAGGTCAAAATTAGCTGTACTTTTTGTATAGCAGCACTTTGTGGGTAGACTTTTATTTTACAGGAATGACCTCAACTGTAAAATGGTCAATGCACAGTGTAGGTTAATATCTCATGCTTATGCTATGCTGTTTTATTGAGCTTTTCATGTTTAGGATAATTGGTTTCAAATGCTTACAACAATGACAATTGCTCATGAAGCTTTATATATTTTCGCAAGAAAAACACAGGGGTTGCAATACAGCTGCTGATTTGATCTGAAGGCCTGTAGTGTTACAAACCAGTATTGCTGTTGTATCTGTAGACAATTGCAGCTATAGGATTAATAAGAAAGGTCTCTCATAGGAACTGAGTGAACTAGAGAAGCAGGGAGAGAAACAGGAAACATTTTTATAGCATGCAAAAGTCTCTTAAAAATTGCAAGCATGGGAAAAGCCTCAGCTGGAGCCAGGATAAAAAGATGCATTAAGGCGGTGGTTTGAGTCCATAGGAAGCATGCTTCTTTAGTTCAAATGCTCAAAAAAGAACATATTTATTAGATTTTATTGTATGCCACCTGCTGAAATCAATGGCAAGATTCCAGTTAAATTTAATGAAGGCTGTTTTCAACAAACAAAACGTTTTGTGTTGGTTTTTTTTTTTTCCTTGTGGAATTGCTTAACTCACCTCAGGCAATGACCCGATAAACCAGATATTTGTTACTGAAACAGTTATTCCTTGTATTCTGAGAAGACCAGAAGACATACTGCACTGCTAAGAATAATTCCCTAGTGCTTACTCTACTCACAATTCACATCCTGTGTAATTTTGTTTCTTTCAAAGACTGAAGTTTAAAATATTGGACTGTACAGTAAATCTCCAAGTGTGTAAAACTCATGATATATAGCAAATGAAAAAAGTGTGTGAGTGAACATTTAATGATATTATATTTTAAACAAGCTCTCGACTTTAATATAAACTGATTTTTCTAAGTTTTTGAACTTAATGTCTCCTCTTCATTTAGTTTGAATGAAGCATGAAGTGTGAATTAATGGAAATTTAATAAATGTACATCTCACCTCTATATGAGATCTAGTTCTACCAGTAAGGAGTACTCCTTGGTGCCTTTTTCCTTCTTAATATGATTGTAACTATTCCTGTCTCCCTGTGGAAGAGAAAGCCTGTCTAAGCATAATGGTCCTCCAAACACAAATTTTTGGTGCTTACTGGTGCTTAGTTTTTCTGTTTCGAGCAGTTTTAAATTAGAAAGCTGTATTAGCAGCTATACCAAGATTATTATTCTAATGGTTTCAATCCCAGTTTCACAGAAGAGGACTTGGCTATTTGTCTGCAGTGAGAAACGTCTGCTTCCAGTATGTTTATCTAACATCTTCCTATGCCTGTTTCGTAAATGGCTATGAAAAGCGAACAGTTGCAGTGAAAATGTCATCTTAAGGCTTCTGACTCAATAATTTGCAATGCTGATGGTGTGAGGATGGGCTTGCTCTACCTCAACCGTTGGCTCCACTCCAGGGCAAGTTCAGCTGATGCAGTGAGATGTGAAGAGGGACCATACACTCAGCTGCCAACTGCTTTTCCATGGTTGTGCAGCATGTCCTGGGCGGAGTGGAGTTTAACAACTGCCCTGCCAAATCTCAGCCAACTTACTGTGACCCACCTTGCTGTACTGTAGTAGAGTTGCTGCCTTTGAAGCCCAAAGAATAAGCTCCATGATTCTCCTGTGCCTGTTTGAACCTGCAGTTCTTTGTATTAAACTTGTGTTTGAGTAACGCATGCGTTGGCAGTGAAAAACAGTTTTTGTCTTTTCCAGTACTCAATCTGCAGTGAGCCTTTAATTGAATTATCCAACCCAGGTGCCAGTGGGTCCTTATTTTTTGTAACTAGTGATGACGAGTTCATCATCAAAACAGTTCAACACAAAGAGGCTGAGTTTCTTCAGAAGCTCTTGCCGGGTTATTATATGGTAAGTAATTCAAGACTCTATTATATCTATATTTTTCCTGTTTCGTGACACTTCTGAAGATTCAGTTTCATTTGTTGTCTTTTAATCTTTCATTGACTGTATCCATATCTTTCATAATATTTTTGACATTTTTTACCTGTGTTTCAACTTTGTACCCCACACATCAATCAGAAAGAATAGATATAAATCAAGGATATATTTAGGACAATAATTGCTGTTCTTTTACCGTTCAAGATGGAGCTGAATATCATCTTCTAATTTGATACCAAACTTTGCTTCTATTAAGTTAGTAATAAAAAAGTTGCTAAATTTCTAATTCAACTTTTTTTCTCCGTTTTGTGTTTGTCTACCCTCTGCATTTCACTCAGAGTGGACAAAGAAACTAGACCGGTCAGTTTCACTTTTATTCTGGACTACTTCTGATTTCCATTTCTCATGTATTAAAACAATGATGTAAAAATACTTTTACCCATATAATTTGTTCAAAACTCATTTTTTAAATGGAGCTTTTTGAGAACTGATGTAAGTCGATTGTATGGTTTTATGTGTGCCAGTCATCAGAAAGGGAAACCATTGATCCAAAGTAAATAGCACTTAATTCTTTGTTTGTTTTTTGTTTTGTTTTGTTTGTTAGTTTTTTTTAAACAAAAGCCACTCATACATATGAACAGAGATTCTTCTGAGTGGTATGCAGGATTTCCAGAGTATTAGATCTGTGACTGACTGACTTTCCTTTCTTTGCTTTCTTAAATAAAGTTACCCTCTCACTTGTACTAACATTGGGAAATATTGTCATTATTATACTAGAATAACATGGATTCACTGTTTGATGCTGTCAGTGCATGATTTTTTTTAAACAAAAAGAGCAAAGGTGGCAGGTACTTTTTTTGTTGTTGTTTCTAATCATGATAATCAACACAGCATAAGTTTGAGTTATTACAAGTAAATGTAAGGCCACTTGGCATTGTTTCTGGGAACTTCATTCTCATTGCTACCATATACAAGGATTTCCAAAGTGTGTAACTTTAATCACCGTGATTATTTCCTTTGAAAGTACTTTCTTCCCATAGTTGTATGTTGTGTCTTAGTAATCATGTAACTTGAAGTAGTTTTTCCCTTTCTGGCTTTTTCATGCCAAAACCTTTGAGTAATTGTATTCAGAAGGAGGATTTTCGCTCTCACCTGTCTTATCCTTTCCTAGTTAATTTCTTGCCTGTTGTAGAATTTGGAGTATTTCACACTTTTCTGCTCTGATGGTTAGTCGTGGTTCTGTTATGACCTCACACTCCTGTAGAGACAACCTGGTCTTTTGGCACTAACTCTCAATGTGAAAAGCAGGGGTTCTGTTTTTCAGAATCCAAGTCAAGATAATGAGAACTGCTTTTGACCCAAACTCCTTCCAGCAGGTGGAATGCAAATGTTGTTCAGGTCAGAATTAAGTCTCCAGGATGCTTTTAGGTTTGCCCTACTCTGCTCTTTCATGGGACGTGAGAAAGAGAAACCTGACATAAATGCAGTTACTGCTCTGCTCTTGACCTACGTAAGTTCTTGGCAAGTAGGCAGTGTTTAAGGTAGCTTTCTGAAATACAGACCCACAAAGAAAATCAGCTGGTCAAAGAAACTACACTGAATGGGAAAACATGCATAGTTTTCTTGATGCTTGTTAAATTCTTTTCATAGTAAAAAAAACTTTCTTAAGCATGGAATTTTATGGAAAATAGACATATTTAACAATATCTCTTTTCTTTTAGAATCTGAACCAGAATCCAAGAACTCTTCTACCCAAATTTTACGGGCTGTACTGCGTTCAATCAGGAGGCATTAATATTAGAATTGTTGTAATGAACAATGTTTTGCCACGAGCCTTGAAAATGCATTTCACATATGACTTGAAAGGCTCCACGTATAAACGGAGAGCATCAAGAAAAGAGAGGGAGAAGTCCAACCCTACATTCAAAGACTTGGATTTCTTGCAAGACATGCATGAAGGGTTGTATTTTGACTCTGAAACACATAGCGCGCTAATGAAAACACTACAGCGGGATTGTCGAGTGAGTAAAAATTATTGACTATTTAAACTTCTGTGTTCACATCTGTTCTAGATGTACCTCAGCAAAACCTCAAGGTGAGGCCACCCCAATGCTGAGTATAGTGGGACAATCGCTTCTTTCAACCAGTTGGCTATACTGTGCTTAACACACCCCAGGATATGATGGGCCATTTTGGCCACCAGGACCCACTGCAGACTCATTGAGCTTGCCATCTAGCACAACCCCAGATCTGTTTCTGCCAGACTGTCGCCCTATTTGTCTGTACATCCAGGATGACACTGATCCATCTGCAGAAATACAGATTAATACAGGAAAGTAGTCCACTAGAGTATTTTTTTATTATTGTTCTTGCTTTCCATTAGTTCGGAGATTTTAATGATTTCTTTCTGAGGCACAGTAAATAGCCCTGTGGCACCATTGTTACATATGGCAAACTTTATGTAGAGCTGCAAGCTCAGTACTGCTTTGGTAAGTCTGCCTCTTTGTAAGTTAACAAGAGCTAGGAAACTTGAGTGGGGGAGGCATGTTTTGTGACAGCAGTCTCGGTTCTGGAGCAAAGTAATTTCTTCTTCAGCTGAAAGATAGTGCTTAATGTCCACATAGCATTTTCAAGGCAGGAGAAGGACACCTAGCATTGTCCTTTGAGAGGACCTTGGTGAATGGAATCAGTGTCTGTCGTGAACAGGGAGAACTGTTGTAAAATGAATTTTTTTTCTGTAGCAAAGGTAAGAAAATATAAAGTGGGAAAAGAGGGAGTTAGCCAGGTCTCTCAAGTTTCACAAGATTCACAGGCATTGTGGAAGGAAAAGATTGGCTTTGTCTGAGGGGAATCCCAAGAGTTTCATAATAAAACAGCAGAATGGGTAGACTGAACTCATCACATGGAAGAGGCATCCTGAACATCAGAGTTTGTTGTTCGCTGGCACCTGTGGTGCAAGATGGTAAGCGTTGTTTTTGCACATGAATCGTTCTTTTTGTTTAATTATCACAGAAGTCTGCAATGCCTTGTGCTTGGTTTGTAAAGCTGGGTGACCTAATGTTCAGCTGCATATTCAGTGGAAGACATTTATCTAACACCACACATTGTTCTTTCTGTAGCCTCTTGCAGTGAGCGTTTCCTGAGCTCCTGACATGTGTGATAATGCAGAATGCATCAGTATGTCACATCTGGGGATCTGGATGCCCTTTTGTGCATCTCCCCACTTGTCGAAGGTTGCTTTCCCAGTCGAAGCGTGGGGGGATCTATTGTGTAGAAAATAATAAACAGAATCTAAAAAAGGGAACTGCTCTGAAAAGTAAAAGCAAGAATCAGTTATTTAAATGTTACATATAAAGGGGAGTCTTACTGGTTCTTTGAAAGTATGGGTAAATTCCTTCTATGTGTTATTTGAGTGCTGAACTTAAAACATCAGCTTTTTTAGTGTGTATGTGTATCACACCTACAATGCACACAATTGAAAATTTGAACTAGCTTTCAAATTCCAGACTATTTCTGAGATATTATAGCTATGCTGTCCTTGCTAGCAGGGACTGTCATTGTTACTGGAGTGTGTGTGTGGAAAGACTGGGGACACACTACAGGCAAACAGTGTTAAAAATAAATAATTTCACTTGCCTGAATACCTTTCCCAAAAGTCTTTGCTTTGAAGCCTTATTCACTTCAGAATGCTTTAATTTGTAAAGGCAGTGTGACTGTATTTTGTGTAATGGTAAATACTGAGAATATAGGAAGGTAGTTTCAGTAGCTGTCATGTATTTTTAGTAATCATGCTGATAGCTACTCTGATCATTGTATAAAATTATGAATTATTAAAGAATAAAACAGATTCTCCAATTTTCAAATAAAATTAATCTTATAAGTATTAGCAGAAACTGTTCTGTTCATGAATGAGACCGAGAATTAAAAACTTTATGGCACATAAGCAAGTACTAGGTAAAAATGAAGTCAGTAAAAACATTAAAGACAGTTTAAAGTGCATTTGGGGATTTCTTCTTTTTTTTTTTTTCCGTAAAGGTCTGGAAAATTAAACTCTACAGCAAACTTATCAGCTGTTGTCTTTTGTTATAAACACCTGATCCTACAGAAGTTTTTTCTGTGTGGAGGAATACTTACGTGGGTCAAAGGATAAGCTATGGTGCTAAGTGATGTGTTAGGTAACATTAGCACAACTCTGTATCAGAAAGTCTAGAAGTGAATTAATAGTAGCATTTTATTTTTCGTAGTAGATAAGGAATCGAAGTAAATCTAGGCATCCATTATTATTTATTTGATCTTTATTGGAGCTCTTAAGCAGTTTAATAAATATAAATTACCTCTGTTCTGAGCAGAAAGCATGGGGAAGACACCTGATCTCTGGTAGAAGGAATTCACAGTCCAAACACACTAGTAATAAAGTTTGTCTTTTGATCATCCCATGTTTAAAATGAAGATATAGTTTTATAGAGGCATATGTCAAAAATTGCTGTAGGAAAGGCACACCAGCACATCTTATCAGAATATGGTCCAGTGATTTGATTATGAAAACGCTCTTAATATCTTCCCTATAATCCCTTAAAGTACAGAAGAGCTCCTAACTGTTTATTAAAACAAAAAAAAGAAAAAAGTCTCTTCTGAAGCTGACAGTGTCATGGTTATACAGAGATATTGTTCTACAAACTGTTTCTCATCTAGTTACCTAACAAAACATGTTAATGTAACTTTAAACAAGAAACATTAATTTCAGGAGAACAGATAATTGCAGGATTCTGTATTTGTAAATCTTTGCTTCACACACTCATGTGTTTACAGTATGTTCTTGAATGTTAACTAGTCATATGCAGGAATTTGGGGTATTCTATTAAAAATAGCCTGGTTGTGTTTTTCCTCTTCCATCTGCTGCTGAATGCAAGAGAAAAGAAAATTGAAAGGAGGAGCACAAGCAAATGCAGTTAGATCAATTAACTGTGCAAATGGAAAAAAAAAATCCAAATATTGTTCCTCTTGCTCTTTACTTTGCTGGTAATGACTGCTTAGTAAGATGTTTACACGTATGCACTCAAATAACGTCTTTTTGTCAGTCAGTGGTCAATTCCTAGTATTTCTCTCTCCTCTTGCATGACACTTTTTCATGTATTTAAATATTGGAGATGAAGAAACTATTTATGCAACTCAAACAGTATTTGTGTATCTTGAAATTTGGGATAAAATTGCCCAGCAAAATTGCAAAGACATGATATTGTAAAAAATGAAGTTAAGATTTATTCCTTGCCTGGGTAAAAGGTGGGGAAAAAGTGAGGCAGAGTTTCTAAGAGCACTAGTGATGTTCATTTGTTACTTAGGGATGACTTTTTTTCTTGATGAAGCATGTTTAAGAGCTGGCCTGTAAATTCAAAACTAGTTCTCGGTTAATCTTGGTGACCTTAGGTATCCTGTGACACCTATGACATTTAAAACTACATTAACAAATGTTGTTTTACACGAACAGACAAGGCAACATCACTGTGAAACTAGGGGATTTCGTCTTGCAGTAGGTAATTAGATTTTGTGTCTCAATAAGAAGAGTATTTTTTGAGCTCTAAGTGTTAGTGACATACAAGTAGGCAAAGTACGCGTGTTCTATGATTTCTTGCTGGGACTATTCTTCCAGATTCCTGAGGGTGGAAAAATAAGTTTCTTTCTCTGTAAATACAGTTGTTACTAAGAAGCGTGACTCAAATAATCTTTACTGTTTCCTAAGGTATATCTTACTGCAGATGAGGAAACCAAAACCTTTCCTGATGGGTGAAGATTGATTCGATGTTGTTTCCTCTGTGGCAGAACACTTAATTTTATAGTGTATTTTTGCAGTAGAAAATTAGGAGAATGATTAGATGCCTTATAGGATATTATAGATAGTATCTCCACACTATCTGGAGAATTAAAAGTTTGTGAACATCATTTTTTGTCTGGTGTTCGGAGTAGGAGTTCAAGTCATGGAATGTTTTTTTTCTCGTTGCTTAAAATTTTTCAAGACATGAAGGACAAAATGCTTTGCTGCTAAAACTTTTAAGTAGAACCAGAAGCCAAACAACAGAATTCAGCCTCTCGTATTATGGGATTTCCCTTCTGAAAATATTAAATGGAAATTGAGCCTATTTATTCCAAAGTTGCACTTTAGTGGAATTATTTGTATTTAGTTGATGCAATACTGTTATGGTTTCTGTTTTGGTTTTCTCCTTTTTCAGGCATTCAATAGCAATGGTTGAAAATCTTTCTGGCGTAGTTCATAAGGGGCACTCTCTACATTTATAAGAATTTAGTGCAAGTGTTGAGGAACGTTTTAAACAAAAATATGTGGTTACCTATTTTTCATTTGTCAGTTAACATTAGAATAATTAATATATTGATACCTGTATTGCAAAATATTTGTTACAGAAGCAATTACAATTAATCTGGTTGTGGTTGTGGCTGTTTTTAAGAACAACAAAATAATTTCAGGATGTCTTTACTAGTGGAATTAAATGGTTTTTTGGAGTCTGCATTTTTTCTATATTAGCAAAGAACACTATGGACTTTCTAAGGAAACTACGTTTTAAAAATTGCATTAATGGCCTGACTAACAAAGACACGTTTAAAGACAAGGAGATTCAAACTTGGAGACAAAGAGGGTCATATCTCCTAAGTTTCAGGTCTGGGTATTATTTTCATCACTGCTGATTGAGCCATTTGCCATGAAAGTCTCAAGCTTTGTGGCATGAGTGAATATCTGTTTTGTGCTAGAGCAGCAGTGACAGAGACCTTGTTCGATCAAATTTATTCACTGGATTTTTCAAAACCTTTAGTAGTGGGGAGGGGTTGTTGGTTTTCTTGTCTTTTTTCCTACCTCAAAGGGTCTGTGCAGATTATTCTTTAACCGAAATAATTTCAGTGACCTATTCTACAGCATGTCCTTACAAACAGTAGTGTTGGCATAACTTGAAGGAGTATTGAACTGCAACATAGGACAGAACTAATAGATGGCATGGCGTGGAAGTGGAGAATG